ATATGTATACATACACATACATATGTTAGGAAAATTTGTGTTAGAATTATTAATCTTACTTTTTCGGTCATATTTAATAATATATATAAGTATACGTATATATATATGTACATGTATGTATGTATGAGTGTGTGTACATGTATATATAACATTAATAATTGTGTAACTAGCGCTAAAAGATTGTTATTTGTTTAGCTAAACGAACTAGAGGGTTCAGTTCTTGAACCCTCTAGTTCTAGTTCAGTTCCTGAACCGATTATGTGCCTCTGTAATCCTGTAGGCTTGGTGTGTAAAATGGGAGTTGCCAAATAGCTGTCCTAAAGGAAGTGTATGTAAAATATGTAAAATAAATATATAAAGTATAAAACACTTTATATTTATATATTTAAAAATATATAAAGTAAATCAAATAAATATGTAAAGTATGTAAAATAAATAACGTAGAACTTTCTCTAGTTCTTTATAAGTATAATTTTGTTTTTAATTATTAGGGAAAAGCGCCAAGCCATTACGACTTTATAGAACTTGGAAGGGATCAGGATAAGGATTTGAGATGGGACGGAGGGAAGGAACCACTTGGACGGTCGGGGATTGAACGCCGACCTTCATTGAAGGGAAACCGTCGCTCTACCGTCCAGCCCAAGTGGTTGGGTTTTTATAAATATACGGAATATATTTATATAGTTTCTTCAAGGTAGCAGGTAGCAAGGTAGCCACTGACCCCCTGGTATCTACCAGGGGATCAGTGGCTACCAGATTGAATACAATATCCTTAGTTATATGCAAAAGCCTCAAAGTTGAACGCAATAGCGACAAAGATTGATTAGTTAATTTATTTAATGTTTACAAAGAAAGTATCGGGGCTTAATAATGGGTTATTTGTACACATGTTCATGTGTACAGGTTACATTCTCACAAAGCCACTAACACTGGCGGACCACCAATACTTCACCTTTTTCTTCTGTTCACCCAGCAGTAATTGGGGTACTTGGTTGTAATCCGATTACGGGGTCGTGCTCCAGGGAAAACTAATAAGGTAAGGCTTAACATGAGCAATGGGAAGGGGAAATCTATAAGCCTATTAACAACTCAGAAAACCATATATTTGCAAAAAAAAAAACGAGCGTTTCGGGTCAATTGATCTCATCGGTTCCATTTATATACTTGAGAAGCTTAAATTTTGAACGAGATTGCTTTCTTAAATGCAATGTCTTCACTTTTGAATGAAATATTTCCAGAGGACTTGTTGATATTTTTCCTCGGGAAGTAAGGAATGGCGGGGGCTGGTGGTGGGTGGTGGTGGGTGGCGGTGGGTGGCGGGGGCTGGAGGTGGGAGGTGGCGGGGACTGGTGGTGGGTGGCGGCGGCTGGTGGGCGCTGGGGATGGGAGGCGACGGGTGGTGGCGGTGGCGGTTCAAATACGTTTATTGAGACAATCAAATACATCTCAAAGGGATAGAGTAGCTTTTTATTATTAACATTTTTGTTGACAAAATTAAATTACAGTTTTGCCTAATCTGAGGATTTCAATTAGGTCTTATTAAAGTGCGGATAATGTTGGTATTCGCTGTCACGCAGGACAGAGGGTCATACACAAGACAATAGGTCTAAACTGTAGGCGGAAGCACATATATATCATGGTTACAATCAATGTTTTAATGTATGGATATGTGAAATCAACTTTCTACTGTGCACTGCCACACAAGGGCAGGGATGGGTTCATAAGTGATGCAGCTTGGAAGTAATTTAAATAAAATTGTTCTTCATTCTTTAAAATGGACAAGCAAATTTTGGATAAATTGTTAGGATGTCGTCCAGAACACCTGAGTCAATAAAATAGTTACACAGTTGGTGGTACAAGAGGCCAGGAGGTCTAAAGTCCTTTATGGTTTCACATTCATCAATATAGTGTTCTAGTGAATGCATTAAAGGTTTATCACAGAGTTTACAATCTGAGTATTCTGGTAGTGGCTCAGCCTCACTAACCTGCCAGATGTGTCTATAGCCAAGGCGAATTCGCGCAATTACTACATCACATTGCCTGGTCCGATTACTGTGCTGACCATACAATTACCTATTATTACAAAACTTGTCATAACTTTTAATACTGCAGCTTTCAGGTCTCTGGGCATTTCTTAGTTCTTCTAAATCTGAATTAATTTCAATATTTTCTATGTTTCTAATAATTGCATTAGATAGTCCAAAGTCAAAATCAATGTTTTCTATCCTGCTTAGCTATTTCTACCCTCTACTTCAAGTCCCTCAAGGGGCGCACAAATCCAATGAGTACAATCGACAAATCACAATACAAGAATCACATTTAACATTGCAGGTTAATACAGTAAGCACAGCATATGAGTGCTACACTCTTGGGGCAAACTGCTTGTAGCTCCTAAGTATTCTGTCTATCATACCATTATCACACATCCAAACAATCTGATGTGGTACACTACATATTTCCTTATTTATATAGTTATCAAGTTGACACTCTTATACATAATGATCTGAGGTGTGAGCGTACGGCATACTATACAATATTCACGCCTTATCTTTTTCTCTGGCTTTTTTCCCCGGCGGTGGGAGGCGGCAGCTGGTGGCGGCGGTGGGAGGCAGTGGCTGGTGCAACCCGTTCTCGCAAATTCGTAAAGTCAATATTGACTTATTAACTACGTGCATAGGTGATATACTAAACATAATAGATACCCTTAAAAAGATTCATAGAAAACACCGACCTTACCTAACCTTGTTAGTATCTTAAGATAAGCATCTTATTGCTTCGTAATTACAATTATTACTTAACCTATACCTATTATAGGTTAGGTAATAATTGAAATTACGAAGCAATAAGATGCTTATCTTAACATACTAAGTAGGTTAGGTAAGGTCGGTGTTTTCTATGAATCTTTTTAAGGGTATCTATTATGTTAAGTATGTCACCTATGCACATATATAATAAGTCAATATTGACTTATTAAATTTGCGAGAACGGGTTGGGCTGGTGGCAGTGGGAGGTGGCGGCGGTGGAAGGCAGCGGCTGGTGGCGGCGGAGGAAGGCAGCGGCTGGTGGCGGCGGAGGAAGGCAGCGGCTGGTGGCGGCGGAGGAAGGCAGCGGCTGGTGGCAGTGGGAGGTGGCAGCTGGTGGCGGCGGTGGGAGGTGGTAGCTGGTGGCAATCGCGTCTTTGTCGCACTCTGGCCCCAGACGCATTTTTTTTTTATTAACATATTAGGTACATCTGCATTAGTGCAGCTACCCTAGACTATATGAAGTGGAGTACAGTGTGTCAAAAGGCTAGCTACGTGATGCTAAAAAAAATCCCCATCACACAGGATGGTTAGTCATACAGAGGCATGTGATAGGCAGTCTGCACTGGCAGACTCCGGATGCATTTTGAGGATATCAACAACACAAGATTGAATAAGGTAGCAGTGGTAATACAAGTCCCCATCTCGCAGGATGGTTAGTCATACAGAGCCATGTGTTTAATAGCCTGCACTGGCAAATTTTGGGTATACTGTGAGGATATCTTCAAGAATACGAGAGTGAATAAAGTAATTGCAAAGCTCCAGGTACCTCATGCCAACTGGTCTGAAAGGTCTAATAACTGGGCATTCAGTGATGTAGTGCGGGAGATCATGCCGTAGTTCCTGCTCACAGAGTTTGCAACTGGAGTGCTCAGGATTGGGAGACCCGTCACCTGCAGCCACCTGCCACAGGTAACGGTAACCCAACCTGATCCTTGCAACCACTGTGTCGCACAGTCTGGTGGACGTTTTGTGCTGTCCATAGATGTAAAAAGCTTTGAGAATATGTTAAATAAACAAAGTCTAACAACTGGAAGAAGAGGCAAGTGCCAGAGAATATGTGATCACTACATACGAAATACTGAGAGAATAACCAAGATAGTAAAAAATAGTCTTTTTCAATTTCAGCGAAAAATATGACAAGACCTATGAGACCGAGAAGTGGTAGGAAATGCAAAATGGCCACTTGAATATAAGAGGTGCAACAGGTACCTGAGGCAATTGTATGACCATAAGAGCCATAACTAGCAGAGCTGTGACAGTGTTCAAAAGAGAACTTGGTAAACGCCTCCAGAGGTTACCTAAGTCAGCTTGATTGATTGATGAAGATTAAGCCACCCAAAAGGTGGCACGGGCATGAATAGCCCCTAAGTGGTGGCCCTTTTGAGCCATTACCAGTATCAATAGATGATACTTGAGATCTGTGGAGGTGCGACTGCACCCTGCGTGACGGGAGATGTCTCCCGTGCTAAGTCAGACTTCGAGCAGCGGTTTTAAACTACCTCCTCGGGGGGGGGGGGGGGGCTCGTAGGCCTGGTGGATAGCGCGCAGGACTCGTAATTCTGTGGCGCGGGTTCGATTCCCGCACGAGGCAGAAACAAATGGGCAAAGTTTCTTTCACCCTGAATGCCCCTGTTACCTAGCAGTAAAATAAGTACCTGGGAGTTAGCCAGCTGTCACGGGCTGCTTCCTGGGGGTGGAGGCCTGGTCGAGGACCGGGCCGCGGGGACACTAAAGCCCCGAAATCATCTCAAGATAACCTCAAGATAACCTCCTTGACCTGACCACCAAACATAAAGCCTGCTCAGGAACTGGGCCGCATGAACGCTGATTCCCGGAACCATCACAAGGTAAACACAGGGTACTAATATAATATTGTATTATTATTAATGTAATGTAATAGCACTCGGTACGCATAGCAAAACTGCGATCTAATCAGTAAGTAGTCCATTCAAAAGGAGCTATTGATTGCGATAAGGAGTATGTGAGCAGTTATTGTCTTGTACCTGATGACATATTTCCGGCGCAGACCACGTGGGTCCTCCGCCAGCTAAGTTAGGTCAGAGGGAACGTTTTGGGGGAAGAAGGTTGTGAATAAAACAATTATATCAAATCCCCCCCCCCATCCCCCCGAGGGAGCACCCCACATGCGCGGAGCGTGGTGGCCTGACGAGAGACCGGCCAAGAGCGGCGAACATGAACCCAGCTAGTGCATCTCTGGTAACCTAACCGTGAGGACCTCTTAGGCTGCAGTCCGTCTGTTCGTAAACTCCTACCCCTTCTACTTTGTGCTGTGCAGACCTTGTGCGTTCGTTGATTTTTTTTGTATATAAAGCATGGAGGGGAAGAGACATATGCCTAGGCCCGTAAACCTAGAGGAGGCTGACGATGGCGTGGTGGAGTTCACGCCGCTGAGCCAGGACGAAGAAGGCACTGTGACTATCGAGGTGCCGGTTCCCGAGGAACGTGCCGCATGGGGCTCCAAGATGCAGTTCATGCTTTCCTGCATTTCTCTCTCCGTGGGTCTCGGCAACGTCTGGCGGTTTCCCTATCTGGTTCAACAGGATGGAGGAGGTAGGTTCAATGCTTTTTATGTTGGTCGCTCTCCGCACTCGCTGAAGAGTAGCAGGTGGGGGGGGGGGGGTATAGGTGGTGGCCGCAGGCACCGCAGGGCGTGCTGACACGCCAGGGGCTTTTCTCAGCTGCTGTTGGCTAATTGTGTCTGTGGCGGCCACTCTGGCCAACTACCCATTCCGGAAACGTAAACACGATTGGCTTGGCGGAGTGATGTGAGCGATCGTTCATCGCGCTGCCTGTGCTCACCTAGTGGCGCTTGCGGGGGTTGAGCCTTGGTTGGGATCCAGGGGCCCTCTTGGTGGGGTTTAGGGTGTCTCTTGGTGGGGTTTAGGGTCCCCTCCTGGTTGGGTTTACGGCCCCTCTCCTGGTGGGGTTTAGGGCCTCCTCCTGGTGGGGTTTAGGGCCCCTCTCCTGGTGGGGTTTAGGGCCCCCTCCTGGTGGGGTTTAGGGTCCCCTCCTGGTGGGGTTTAGGGCCCCCTCCTGGTGGGGTTTAGGGCCCCCTCCTGGTGGGGTCTAGGGCCCCTTCCTTGGTGGGGTCCAGGAGCCCTCCAGGTGGGGTTTAGGGGCCCCTCCTGGTTGGGTTTACGGCCCCTCTCCTGGTGGGGTTTAGGGCCCCTCTCCTGGTGGGGTTTAGGGCCCCTCTCCTGGTGGGGTTTAGGGGCCCGTCCTGGTGGGATTTAGGGCCCCGCTCATGGGGTTTAGGGCCCCTCCTGGTGGGATTTAGGGCCCCTCCTGGTGGGATTTAGGGCCCCGCTCATGGGGTTTAGGGCCCCTCCGGGTGGGGTCCAGGAGCCCTCCAGGTGGGGTCCAGGAGCCCTCCGGGTGGGGTCCAGGAGCCCTCCGGGTGGGGTCCAGGAGCCCTCCGGGTGGGGTCCAGGAGCCCTCCGGGTGGGGTCCAGGAACCCTCCGGGTGGGGTCCAGGAGCCCTCCAGGTGGGGTTCAGGCCGCTCTTCATGTGTTGTCCTTGTCCCAGGTGTTGGGGCGCACGCTAGGCAGGAGCTGGACCGCGCCACTCAAAACAAACTTCCCTCAAGCGACAAATGTGATTAATGATTTATGTTTTAGATATTAGATTTCGTCATATTAAGAACCCAACATTTCTCAAGTATGAGGAATCACTAGGTAATTGTTTTATACTTAAATTGTCGGCACTAAAAAAAGCTATAAAGTTGAATAATCAAAACAACAGCAGTCTCCGTGGTGTAGTGGTAAGACACTCGCCTGGCGTTCCGCGAGCGCTATGTCATGGGTTCGTATCCTGGCCGGGGAGGATTTACTGGGCGCAATTCCTTAACTGTAGCCTCTGTTTAACGCAACAGTAAAATGTGTACTTGGATGAAAAAACGATTCTTCGCGGCAGGGGATCGTATTCCAGGGACCATAGGATTAAGGACTTGCCCGAAACGCTACGCGTACTAGTGGCTGTACAAGAATGTAACAACTCTTGTATATATCTCAAAAAACAAAAAAAAAAAAAAAACTATATCGGGTGGTTAGATGAAAGGTGTTATGCATCACGTTTTCTATAAAGCCCAATTACATGTAGAACGCGTAATTCAGCTCTAAAGAAAACGAATTTATGTATCATCAGAGGCTTAGTAGTTAGCCTCTGTTGAAGAATTCGAAAGCGCTTGGGCAAAAAAAAACAACTATGAATATTTTGATTTAGTTGGTATGTGTGTTTCGTACCCATTCCATCCTGTGGGTTGCAGTGGAAAAGTTTACAGGGGCACATAATGGGCTTAGGGACGGATCCCCCACCGATTTTTTTTAGTCTTAAGCAATTTACATTTATTGTATCTTCGTAACAAGTTTTATTACACTCAAATTTGTGAAGACGTTACAAGGCCAATTATGTAATTATATCACTGGCTAACGTTACGATTAATGGTCTTGAGATAAGGAAGATACTTGCAGGCTTACAGTATATGTATTATCTGCAATTAACAAATTTGAAATTTTAAGACCAAACTCCGCTTGAAATAATCTGGCTATTTGACGTCTATTATGTTAACATTGTGCTCAGTAAGAACCCTATTCCCAAACCAATATATTTTTACCCAGGTCTTTATTGAATCTAAACTTTTCTAATTTGGACAGTATGACGTCCCAGATAAAATACATGATCATTCCCTGATTATAACCAAACCACTTGGGCTGGACGGTAGAGCGACGGTCTCGCATCATGCAGGTCGGCGTTCCATCCCCGAGCATCCAAGTGGTTGGGCGCCATTCCTTCCCCCGTCCCATCCCAAATCCTTATCCTGACCCCTTCCAAGTGTTATATAGTTGTAATTGATTGGCGCTTTTCCCCTGACAATTCCCTCCCTCCCTGGCCATAAGTGATGAAAGTTTTCTCTTAAGCTTTTGAATTTGTTCACATACAAGTTAAATAGTGATGAAAGGTATGTGAATAGCTGACAGTAAAATAGGTACCTGCTACTGTTACCTAGCAGTAAAATAGGTACCTGGGTGTTAGCTGTCACGGGCTGCTTCCTGGGGGTGGAGGCCTGGTCGAGGACCGGGCCACGGGGACACTAAAAAAAGCCCCGAAATCATCTCAAGATAACCTCCCCAGCCAGGATACGAACCCAGGCCTAAGCTCGCGAAGCGCCGGGCAAGTGTTTTACCACTGCGCCACGAGGACTGCTGTAATAGTAATAAGTAGACAGTTTACTAGGCTAAATCAGCCGTGTTCCTTCTAGACTAGAATTTTCCAGTAGCAAATCAACTGCCGACGGAGTTCGTGCACATAACTATTCAATAACCGCCCTCATCCTCGGGTATATTATGCAGAAATGTCAGTCGTTTTCCTTGGCACGTATTAGGCACGTATTCCATATTTATATTTCTTACCAAATATAAGCTAATCAAAACCATGTTTAGACTTTATTAATAAAAAAGTAATTTAGGGTTATACCTACTTGGCGATAACTAGTTTTCTATTTCCTTCGTTTTCTATATACTTGAAGTGTGAATGGATTCGCAGGTAATTGTTCTTTTTTATTAAGTTTGAGAGCGTTTATCATATTCATGGGATTTACGAGTTCATTGACGAAACTTATGCAGTTCCAAGAATACTTACCCAGGGTGAGTGAATACAAATCTTGTTGGAAATTTGATTTTCTGCTGCGCTAGTTTTAAAAAATTACCGTTATCTGAGATGGTAATTTTTTATATTAAAACTTAAGATGTTTGATGGCTGAATTGTTCTTATCAAACCGGGTGAAAATTGTTAGGCTTTACACCAGAGCCGACGTTGGCATTTATGGCACAATTTAACTCAAATAATGTGTGTATATTATCTGAATAGGAGATAACATGTCTCTCAAACTGCATTCCGATAAATTACACTGTACTAGCACCAGTCAATCACTCCAAGGCTCCTTCCTATCTGGCGTGGTTTGGGAACTTGACTGATAGAGTTCTTTCATCTACCGTAATGATAAGTCCCGACAGGAAATTTCACAAATAATTCCATCACAAAACTGAGTTAAGACTCGTCAGCGTGCGCGCTGTGAATGACTATTTTACTTATCACGTGACACCAACAAGACCGTTCTCACGGTTTGACTAATTTGAAGTGGTTTAGCGCGGCCAGAAGTGTTAGACTCTGAACAACCGATCTGACCTGTCGAAGAAGCGTCAGCATTTCAAGTCATTTAATTTTCCTAAAGCACAGGATAGTGAGGCTGTGATCGATAGCAACACAATTACACTGCAGTAAGCGTGAGGACAGGTTGGTGCAGGGAGGGAGGGAGAGACACGCTTACTCTGTCCCTGAAGGTACATGTATCACAGCTAACACCCATGAGAGGGAGGGGAGGGGGACTGCTGTATATGCAGCATACCAAGAGCATATGTGAGGTCAGAGCTGGTATGTGCTACACTCACATCCACCTGACTTAATTGTTAATCCCACCGCTGCCTTAACCCATTGTCGGGGACAGGAAGCCTATTAGGCTTATCGAGGTCACCCTCATCCCCAGCCACTGATCATCTCCCGCCAGGATGCACACCCACCCGTTTATATTTTTGGTCGCGAGTCATATTTAAACTGTAAACGAATGCAGAAGTTTGCTTTTGATCTTAATACAATGTCGCTTTTAATTAACCTTAATATTGCCTCACGTCTCTGGTGTTTGATGTTTGTTATTTATCGGCGGTGTTTGTGTTCACGTTACTGAATGAGACGCGTGGAACCGCCCTAAGTATGAGACATGTGGACACGAGACAACCCTTTTTTTCCCTTACGGGCTAATCATGCCCGTGCCACCTCTTGGGTGGCTTAACCTTTATCAATCAATCAATCCTTTAGCGTGGGACACGTGGAACTACCCTTCCTGGATGACATTAATATATATATATATATATATATATATATATATATATATATATATATATATATATATATATATATATATATATATATATAAAGAGATAAACACTATCAACTGGTTCCGGCATGTCTTCTAATGTATTGCATAGATTACAACGAATAATTAAATATTCCATCTCCATTATGGAGAAAAAAAATAACGGTGCAAAACTGGGTTAAACCAGATCTATACTATAGTGGAGGCCTGGCCGACGACCGGGCCGCGGGAACGCTAAGCCCCGAAAACAAGGTAGATCCGCAGGGAGCTGGTATGGCCATAGGACAAATCATATTAGAAGTTTAAATACAAATTATGACCATTGAGCCAATTTCAAAGTTGCACCATACAGAGATTCGAAATCAGCTCATTAAAACACATGCCAAGCTGCCCCTGATTAAAGCAAGCAAACTCCTCTCAGTAAGTGTTAGAAATATTGCCGAAACAAAAGTGGGATTCAAGAAAATAAAATTATAGACGTTCCTGCAAGTGCTGGATCAATCCGGTCGGTCGTACTGAATATGTGGGCTTGCTGCGGGCCGCTCCAGTTGACTGTTGGACTTTGACTGACTATTGCAAGTCAAGTCAGGCCCGCGCCCGGTTTGGGTGGGGGAGGGGGGG